GGGAGCAGCCAGGCAGTGAGGTGGGTTCCACCGGAAGTCAGGAACAATCGGCGGAAGGTCGTCGGGAAACACCAACGCCGTCGGTTGACACTGCGGCTTCGTCAGCACAGACAACAGACAGGGCAGCAGAAGGACCCGGAGGTACACAAACACCTTCAACCCCCCAAGGCCGATCTGGCACGCCCAGCCCCGCCCCTTCCGCCGGCGGCAGCGATGCAGCCACCACGACTGGTGCAAAGGCGACCAACCGCAGTTCGAGTGATGGGAAAGACACGAAACGCAACGCGGACGGCAGTGCCACCAACAGCAACACCACTCAGAAACCCGTGGCAAACGCTGCGGATCGCAGTGCCACCTCCAGTTCGTTTGTGCGTGCACCTTTCATGTTGCTCCTCACGGCTGCTCTTGCTTGCGCCGCTACGTAAGTGGTGAGAAGCAAAAGATACACACATTCACACACACCCTGGCAGGGGCGACGCTTACACATTCTGCGCCCAGTTTGCTTGTCGTCCCTGTGGGTCAATCCTTCACTCTCCCTCCTGTGCTCTGAGGGATGTTTTCTTTTTTTTTTCTTGCTTCGCCACCCCATGCACGTTCCCATGGGCGGCGCACCCTTTTCCCCCTCCTGTTTGCTGCCCCCGCCCACACACACGCAGACACACTCGGTGCCGGCCGCGTGGTTGTGCGCCGCACGGAGTGCCCAAATGAGGCACGAGGCCGCTGCCACCGTGAGGTGAGTGTGCGTGTGGTTGTGTGTGCGTGGGCTCATGCAGCATGGGCGATGTTTTTTCATTCGTGCAGGCAGTAAAATACACACATGCATCTCTCACAGTCCTCTTGTGCTGCGGGACACGTGAAAGTGAAGGAACACTAACTGCCGAAGTAATTAATTTTTCTTTTAATTTTACTTTTGGGGTCCTGCGGGGATTACTCACTTCTCTTCGTCTCTTCTTTTTTTTGTTTTTGCGGCCTGGGCGATGCCCACAGCTGCCGTGCGGGGCCGCACCGTTCTTAAATCCCTCCTCTGCCGGTGTGCCGACACCCCTCTGCGTTGCCTTTCTCTCTTTTCTCTGCCAATTCTCCTCCCGCACACACGCAGAAGGAAAAGGGAGACCAAACGCTGCTTGCCACTGTGTGCTTTGAAGTATTCGAAGTCACAGCAACACACACAACCGTCGCGGCCTGGGCGGATCCACCGCAAGGAAGGAGTGAGCGGACAGAAGAGCTCAACATGCCGCGGCGCCAGTTTTTCTCTGCGGTGCTGCTTCTCTTTTTCGTATGCTGCCGCAGTGGGTCTGTGCAGGCTGATGGTCCTGCCGCGCCAATGCGCATCGACCCATTTGCAGGGACAGCACTGGTATCCGGTGCCAAGTGGGAGGAGGTTAAACCCACTGGGGGGTCAGTCTGCTCGCTGCGCGTCCCCAGCCTCGTGGAGGTGGGCGGCGAGGTGTTTGCCGTTGCGGAAGCTGAGTGCAAGGGCAGTGGTTCAGCTGGCCGCTTTACTGGCATTGCGTCGAAGCTCCTCAAGAAAAGTGAGGAGCATTCCACGGAGATGTTGGCGGCCGATGCAGTTCAGTTTGACACGCAGCTGCTGAGGGGAGGGAAGGCTAGTGGGGGCGAGGCGAAGGACGTACTACGGCCAACAACAATTGTGCACGGCAGAGATGTCTACGTGCTGCTGGGAAAATACAGCCGTGCAGAGCCTGCAAATCAAGTAGCCGGAAAAGCCACTGGGGGCTGTTGCTGGTGAAGGGAAGTGTCACCGACGAGGATGGCGCGAAGAAACTCACATGGGGTAGCCCCCATGCAGTGAAGCCTGAAGCTCTCGCAAGACTCAACTCCCTGACGCGGTTGGTGGGCGGCGGAGGCTCGGGCCTTGTGCTGAGTGACGGCACGCTTGTGTTCCCCATGCAGGGGATCAACAGGGCGAAAAAGAGCGTCTTGCTTGCCATGCGCTTCACGCCATCGAAGAAGAAGTGGGAGCTTTCGTCCGGTACGACCGGTGCGGGCTGCAGGGACCCGTCCATCGTGGAGTGGGGGGAAGACGGAAGCCTCCTCGCGATGGCTCCCTGTGAGAGAGGCTCCTACGGCGTCTACGAGTCTACTGTGGCCGGTACAGCCTGGTACGATGCGGGTGAGCCGATTTCGCGCGTGTGGGGCACCTCACTGAGTCGTCAAGGAGGGGACGGCGTGCAGAGCGGCTTCGTCACGGCAACCTTCGAGAATAAAAAGGTGATGCTCCTCACCACGCCGGTGTACTCGGAAGAGGAAGGCAAAGAAAAAGGTCGTCTGCATCTTTGGCTGACCGACAATTCCCGCGTGTCCCTGGCGATGCCGGCCACCTCACCGTGGTGCCAGGGTCCAGTACCCCGTCCAGGGGGAAGCCAAGAGCCCGCATTATACTCAGTCGCTGTTGACTGGGGCGGGCGGCAGGCTATCGGCAACCAGAGAGAGAGCAAGCAGCATCACCGGCGCTCTGGGGTGAATGAAAGTGAAAGAACGCTCTCCTGCACGTGCAAACGTGCTCTCTGTAGTATTTGCCGGCTCCTCTTGCTCACTAGCGGGGATGTCGAGCAGAACCCTGGTCCGTTACTTCGCGGAGCTCAATGGAATGCAGGCGGATTAACTCCGCCGAAGCGTCTCGCATTGGAAAAATTGCTCTACGATAGCAAGGTGGCCTTCTGTCTCCTGTCGGAGACGCATTTCAACGAGGACGAGCATTTGTTTTTTAATATTTTTGGTTT